CATAACTTCCTGAATGTTACGGGCGCCGCCATGTTGATTTTTTTGTTTACCTCTAGTGAGCAGTAATACCGTAGATCGAAACCCTAACCCTTCAGCTTAGATGTAAAAGTTGCTTACTGATGTGATCCAAGGTGCCAGAGCAGAATTTGCCATAAAACTTTTTAGCTCCAAGCTCTCGGAGGTCAATGATGGTGTAAGGCCAGAGGTGGAGAACATTGTTCCTGCTGAAATCCTCCCTCTTCTCCAACAACACCACCTGGGCCCCCAGCAGGGACAGTTCGATGGCCGTTCTCAGCCCACATGGTCCGGCACCCAACACCAGGCACTAAGCACAGGAAAACAAGTTATACTTTCACATTACAGGTTAAAGTGACAAGAACAGAAAAAGCAAGAAGGCAAAATCCAGATCTGCATTTGGAACTGAACAGAACTCTGAGAAAAACTATAGATTCTGGAAAAATATTGAAGTATTTCATTAGACAATATTGGATTTGATAAAAAAAAAAAAAAAGAAAACAATATGCAGCATGAATTCCCATATTGGGCTAATATCAAAATTTGTCACCACATGTAAAGCTCTCTGTGGTGGACAATAAGTGACAGCTCCTACTGGTGAGGGTTTGCAGATATAAACATCTAGAGACAAAGTATAGTTTGGCCTGTAAATGTCAATATGATCAACAGTTTGTAAAGATCTATAGAGTGAAATCTGTTCCATTATTGTTGCAAGAAAACACACCCTAGGACATTGACATTTTTAAAAAGATGCCATCCAAATATGAAACTATTCAAAAATTACTCTCTAAAAACAAAAAGAAAAATTGTTGCAGTTTCTTAGATTTGATTATTTAAATAATTATTTTTAGTAGTAAACAAATTTTTTTTCTCAAACCTTATTTTTTTAACCTCTCTTTTTTACCATTATAGACATGTTAGACATCGTTGGAAAGCTTAGATTCTCCACAATTCCACCACCAGTTCATTTTATGGATCCAGCAAGCACCTAATTTTTTTTCAAATATTTTCCTCTTATTTTGAAGTTTGGATTCTCATTTTATTTTAAATCCTAAGAATGAAAAAACAAATAATAAAATACAGCTCAGAAAAGGCACAGAGGCTTATCTTAGCTTGAAAAGCAGCAGCGTCACTATTTTTTTAATAGTTTTATGTTATTGTAGGTTTATAAATCTTACATTTTGTTATACACATTGATTTTGAAAAAAAAAAAAGTGAGTAATACTTGGTTCATAAATGTTTTGTGACCAGTGTTATTTAAAAATAGGATTACTAAAGAAAATAACAAGATTTATTGCTTTCATGTGTAGTGTTTGTGTTGTTCTGAAACTTTTATGGGTTTATTGTTCTACCGGAAAAAAATCCTTGATAACATTTCTAATATCAAAGGTCTGAAGAGATTTGTTATGGGGTAAAAGATAGTACAAGTGAAATCACAAATTTACAAGTAGGAATCTCCAACCCCTGATGAAGATGTTACACTCCATACCAGCAGGTGGCGGTAATGCACCAGAAAAAATATTCCTCATCCACCATTAAAGAAGGAAAAGGAAGACTACAAACAAACCATTGATCAAAGTTATGCTGAACATTAGGACTGAGAGATACGGCCTTAAAATCTTATCACAATAGTTTGTGATGCAGTCATGATAATGGTATAATTGGCGATAAAAACCCTCTTTCTTAATTCTTTAAAGTCATTCTTAAGTAATCATCATTAACATCCCATAGCGACTGCAGTTAATCATGTTATTCGGATTCTGAAGTTCTGCTTTGAACGTTTACCTCTGTAGTACTACCAGATAGGATTAACACTAGAACCTGCTGACAGTTAAGCTCGCTACACTATATATATAATATTCGGATTTGCCAATACCCAAAAAGAAAAATTAACCAAAGTAGAAAAATGTGTGAATTTTTTTTTTTTTTTTTT